CAGCTGGAATTGCTGTGTTGGAGGAGGAGGGGGAGGAGGAGGCTGTGGCAAATCTTCAAACTTCGTCTAGTTTGTGTTTTGATAGTGCGTTGGCGCCGTTTTGATCGTTCACTTGGATTTCATCCTCCAGCCACTGTTCGCTTGTTTAAAACCCTTGTTGTTTGCTTGTGCTGCTTTGTTGTTCTTAAAAATTTTTCCGTTGGTGGCACGTGTGTCTTGCCAACCATTTGTTTCTTGTATTGTAATTTATTACCTCGAATGCCTTGCGCATTCTGTTTTGTTTCAACGATTTCAACCATTTTAGTGCTTCCTACTTAGGATACGTCACCTGCCTGCATTGTTACCGATGACTTACAGTCCAATATCTTCCAATGCAAATGTCGGGCAAAGGCTTTGCCAAATAATCTTCATTGATTTGTTGTTATAGTAAAGTTTTTTTGAACGTTTTAAAACGGTCGCGAGCATACGTTCCTCGTAAAGTATTTGCGAACTAACAAATTATGAAATATTGATGACAATTTGGGCATCAGTACTTCCTGTTCCTACAGTATCCAGTCAAAATTTATACTGTAGCACAAAATCTGATCATCTTACATCTTCAAATACGGTATAATTACGTCAGCATAGAATCAGGCACTCAAGTAATAATATTAGTTCGGAACCGCAAATAAATTTTATCAAAAATTATTACTGACCGAATTCTTCGTGCATGCGGAGAAATAAATAGTTTTGAGGAGCAAAATATTAGATGACTAACCGCAGGAATGGCAGAAGGCAGTAGTTTCATAGGTGTTCATTCGGAGGCTTAATTGGAATAAATAATGGAACCCTTCCTGTCAACTAACACATGAAAAACAGCAGAAAGTTATTTTCCAAAAAGAACAAAAACTACTGATTGATTTTCTAATATTAATTTAAAGCTATCCGTATTTCAGTTGATTGATGTGGGAGTATGAGACGCCAGTTTATTTCACTATATTCCGGAGCATCAGTAGACCAACATGTTTGGTACACGCCATAAACACTCCTTGTATTAGGAAATCAATCAGTAGTTTTTGTTCTTTTTGGGAAATACAGAGTTTTTATGGCGTGTACCAAACCTGTTGGTCTATTGATGCTCCGGAATATAGTGAAAATAACTGGCGTCTCATCCTCCCATATCAATCAGTTGAAATGCAGATAGTTTTAAATTAATGCATAAACCAACTTCTAACAAAATTTTCGCAAAGAATATGTCGTGTCTTCTATCCTTACAAAGAGAAAAACTTTGAACGACAAATTGCATACATATTACCGATAATTTCAGCTTTAGTAGCAGAAATATTCCTGAAATAATTTTATGTTTTGAGTGTGGGATCTACAGGATTATGGATCATTCCTGCCTTGATCGCTTTAACCTACACTTATCAAACGGGAACATTGAATTCTGAGCCATATAAAATAGTTTCTTATGTGCAGAAAGTATTTTCACGTACCTGAAAATTCGCAATCGCCCTGTATCTACCGTGTCCGATGAAAATTCTTACTGTGGCATGCAAAATATGATCATCCGTAATTCAAGTACAGTAATTTCCTGTTGGAAGAGAAGAATTTAAAAATTTATTTGCCGGTCTGTAGGTACTAATGTTTGGTCAAGAACAGAAAATGGACGCAGTGTCCAACTGCACTGTATACTCGTCAAATGTTTCTTACCTGCGAAGTGATAAAAGGCCCTCAGGAAATCAACACAAGCAGTGGTTCTTAATTGAAGCATCAGCGTTGTGGCAGCAATTGCAAGAACGTGCCTTAATGGAGATAGGTCGAATAAATGCAAAAATCTTCCGCTTATTCTAACACATAAAAAATGGAAAGCGTTGCGCTTCCTCAAGAGAATCATAATTACGGAGAGATTGCCTCATAGAACCTGCGCATCTTATGGAGTGTACTAATGTCGATAATCCTCAGCAGTTGCTTCTTCCCTTAGCTCCGCAAAAATATTTAAAAGAATATTTTTTGTCACGTGAAAAATTAGCAGCTGAAAGGCGGACAAATTTGAACTACTAATAAACCATCGTTCGTATTTTAGCTATAAACGGAGAGATTTGAATGACAGATTGTTCTTCATGACTTTTCAGCTTAACAGCCAAAATAATGCTCAAATATTCGAATTTTCTCACCCTCAAATCTGCTGTTTTGCTATATCTGTCAGTCTCTTTCACGATTAACAAACGGGTTACCAAAATTTCAGCCACATTCTACATAAAATAGTTTTGTGTGACAAAAATATTGTTCATGTGCCTCATAATTCGCATAAACGAAATCTAGCATCTACCGTATCCAATAAAAACTCTTATTGCAGCATGCAAAATTTACCTGAAGAGGTCGTCAATATGTTCCCTGGTGCTACACCTGGTTCATATTTCGCTTCTCCATTTCCTTGCATTTTATCCGTCAGTTCACGGTTGCGTCTGTAATTCGCCATTTCTATATCTTTCAGCTTGCATCATCATAACTCCAACACAAGCACCCATTCCAATTCAGTCAGCAACCCTCTAGTTCATAAACTTTTGGATATCCTTTGTCTACCTTTGCTAAGAGACTCATGGCATGATTTCCTTCTAGCCCGGAAAGTCACTTGATTTCTCGCAAAGAAATCGCCGTAGTTTCGAATTGCCTCTGCAGGCTTCCACTACATCTTAGAATACCTTCTGAGTCCTACACCATTGTTAGATCTAAAATATCGAATATCAGCACAGTTTTTCATTTATTTATTTATTTATTTCCAATAATCATTTTTCTCATTGCTAACTGGTGTGAAAAATTACATCTGGGACAGGCGACAAAATAGATATAGAAAGGAAAAGAACGCTATTCCTATTACTTTTGTTTTCTACATAACGTCACTGAATCCCATGCATAAGAATGCATGAAACAATAGTTTACAGCGCGATGTTCGCATTTGTACAATACTGAATATGATTTATGGAATTCAGTCACGAGGTCTTCTAGCCTTCTTACTGTCAGCTATAAGTTGCAACTGAAAGGTGGGGAGGGGGCAATTAGCTGCTCTCATGAACAGGAAGATAGTTGTCTGAAACTTGTGCTGTTGCCACGTTCCTGTTACCGGTAAATCTAAAGTATATTCGATCGACCAGTGGCTAGGAATATCATTTTAAGCGTTAATCCTGTTTCGATTTTACTGTACCTGAAGGCGCCTAACACTTTCTTTGCTGAATTGACTTCTACCGTAAGTTTCATCTACCTGTATGCAAATCAGTCGGGGCGACAGGGAAGATGTGTACTGCAAAGTTTCGCAATCGTGAC